TGTACTACATTAAGTAGTAAACTACCAGAAGTCCAGTGATACATTAGGTAGTAAACTACCAGAAGTCCAGTGATACATTAGGTATTAAGCCCCAAGCGATTCTTGTCCGTCTAGTGCAAGCAACTGTTCAGTTGACATGGTCATTGGTAATGACCAAGATCAGTGGTAAGTTTAAAGTCTAGAAACAGGGATTTTATTTCAAGGGGTACATTACCCAAAAGTCAGTACTAAGAAGAAAGAATGAAATTGAAAAGGAAGAAGCTACACAAAGGGCTACCTGTACTCTGCCCATCACGGGTATCGAAACCAGGTTTCTAGCTGTATAAGTCCGCAGACATACCGCTGTGCCACTGGGGGACTGGAAGGAGGAAGAGGTCCATTGAGTACCTGACCTTTTTATAGGTCATATACCTATAAACTTCAACCCAATCCACACACACGGGTTGTGATACCCATAGTGGGCAGAGCACAGATAGTTCATTGTGTAATTTTGCGCTTAACAACAAAATAAAGAAACCCGATAACTAAAAGTGTTCGCACTCAGTGACATCTGTCGTCTTTTGTCAACATCTATTTTCATAAATCGAGCGCTTGTTTCCTACTTGCTTCGATTGTTGTTTTTTAAAATATAATTGCAATTTTTCGAAAGGTGTATTTAAGTGTTTTACACTCACAAAAAAAGAGACCTAGCATTCTATAGGTATTTGAAGAACTTGTCGCATTCCAGCCACAATTTAATTATTCGTATTGTTAGCCACACTGGGCAGGTGATACATAATTGAATAGAATTGTTTAAATAATTCTATTCAATTGCAATTTTTGCTCGTAAGGAAAGATGTTATCATATTATTTAGACTTGTAATGCGTGATTTAAGATTAAAAAGCTTGAACGCCGTCTACATACAAACGCAGAGTATGCCAGCTCGTTAAGAGGTCCGATCGAATTTACGAGATACCCTCTTATTACATTTCACTCGTGGCACTTCGTACCCCCTCCCTCCCGTTTCAGACTAATTTCCAGTGACTATTACCTAAGTCCTAAGATAATTGGAAACCGGTACCCAAGTTTTATATGGCAGAATCTAGACAGAGCCCTCTGGCGGAGGTAGTGTAAGTCAGTCTTGACAAACAATCAATCACGTACTGACGTGTGGGAGAGGCAGGAAGCAATTATATTAGAGCAAACTGTACTTCCAAGAACGTATCTATGATGTTATTTTTAAACTTGTCTCGCAAGTGTTAATAATAACAGAAATTCTGGTAAACCGAAGGAATCAAAATATATTATCCACAAGAGGCCATTAAGACATAGATTAAAACCAAAACCTTTTCAGCAGATGGTTTTACGACTGTCAAATAAACTCTTCAATTTACGTTAACTGGAAGAGGTTTTTCTCCTTCAACACCAGAGTAAGTTATGCGGAAAATTTTCCTTACTTTCCTAATGGAAACATCTTTCCTCTTGTATGTGCATACGCACCCATATACATCTCGTAGACCAATTACTTGACTACCCCTTCCCTTTCCTCATTTTCTTGGATAAATATTTCAGCCTGCGAGTACTGTAACTCCTCAAAATGGGAATAATTCGGTCCCAAAACACTAAGTCTAAAACCGGTAGTTTCCTCCTTTCAGAAATACTTGTTGGATTTCGAGCAAAGTTAGTTACACGAGGGTTATCTGCGCTAGCCGTTGCTAATTTTGAAGTGATAAACTAGAGGGAAGGTAGTTAGTTAACACCATCCACCGCCAACTCATGGGCTACTCTTGTTAAACCGAGTAGCGGGATTTGACGGTCACTCTTATAATGCACTAACGGACCAAAAGTTTGGAGTGTGATTGTTTATTGTAATTATTATTGTTGGTAATAGGATATACACTAACCGTCCGGCACAGTAAACACTGGGCCGCTCGGCCCATTTTCACAACTGACAGCAAGTCGAAATATAATTCACTTCCTTACCAGAATTTGCTTAAGGGTGGCATGGATCAATATGTTTATTTCAGTTCTGATGTACATCCACGATCCATACTCCATATCTGGTTTTAAACCATATACAAGTCCACTCGAGACTTATTTATAGAGTCTGTGTTAACCGCCAGACTCGCAAGGAAAAAGGTTTTGTTTAATTGTTGTTAAGCGCAAAGCTACACAATACGGGTATCGAAACCCGATTTTTAGAGTCGTAAATCTACCGCTGAGCCACTTTGGGCAGGACACATAGAAGTTATTAATTGACTTTTTGCAAACTGCTCACTATGCATTACGAATGAGGCTAATACTCCACCTCTAAGCTATGACATAACGTCGTCCGAAACAGAAATGTACATTTAACAATCATTCCTGACACACAGAAATAATACTATCGATTTAAGCTCACTTTATACGAATGAAATACTATATGGGAATGTAACCTTATAAATATGAGTAACGTATGATTGTTTAAAGTCACAATAGAGGAAACGTGGCTCAAACCTTACATTTTTTTCAGTTGGTATTGAACCCTATATCTACACACACCTGAGATCTCATATTTACATCGATACTTACATGAAGATTCTGTCTGACCAGAACAAACATCTATGTCTGTTAAACGATCGCTGGTAATAGAAATGGTACATCTGTTATCACCGTTTGTTAGCTATTTTTCCGCTTCGCTGTTAGCGTGTGTATAGTTATCAACAGTTACAAACACGAAAAAAAAAAGGGGGGAAGTAAGCCTCTAGAAGTCCTGTGACACATTAGGTAGTAAGCATCCAGCAGTCCAGTGATATAATAGGTAGTAAACTTCCACCAGTCCAGTGATACATTAGATAGTAAGCTTCTAGAAGTCCTGTGGCAAATTAGATTGTAAGCATCCAGCAGTAGAGTGATACACTAGGTAGTAAACTTTTATAAGTCCTGTGACACATTAGGTAGTTAGCATCTAGAAGTCCTGTGACACATTAGGTAGTAATAATCCAGCAGTACAGTGATACACTGGGTAGTAAGCATCTAGAAGTCCTGTGACACATTAGGTAGTAAGCATTCAGCAGTACAGTGATACACTAGGTAGTAAACTTCTAGAAGTTCTGTGACACATAAGGTAGTAAGCATCTCGAAAATTAATATACTAATGTACACGAAAAATGTACCCGAGATGGGAAGTCAGCATGGAACAGTTCTTCCTAAATTTTGTCCGGATCAAAATCCGGATCCGGATTCTGGATCACTTTGAAGCATTTTTTATAATGGGGAGATAGGGCATTTTCGCGGTTTTCGTTTAATAACTCTGTAGATTGTGAGTGGATTTGTACCAAACTTCATGGGCACATTAGGGTTGAGACTCCTCATCACACTACAAAAAATGATCCGGATCGTTGATCATTTTGGATATGAGAAGGATTTTCTGTGTTTTCCAAAGTGAAATTTTACCTTATCCAATATATACGCATGCAATCTCGAAAAGAAGCGGTGGGGCGAGGGTATGCAATCTTTCTGATTGCTCTTGTTTGAGCTGATATTGAGCCCTATACATACACACAAACCTGATAATTTAGCTTATTACATATACTGTGGTTGGTACTAGCTGAGCAGTTATCGATTTTAAGCACAGCTTACGTGATATAATGTCGTTCCAAACAGAAATCAGAGTCAAAATCAACAATCATTCCTGAAACACTAAAATTAAACTATCGATGTAAGATCACTTTATAGCAGTTGATAAACCAGAGTGTTGTAAGAGACAGTAAAAAAAATATATAAAAACTTTTACTACGCAAGTTAAGCCTAACGGACTGACTGCATAAACGTTACATTATTAAGCCTTACTGTAAATTACAAGCACTAAAAAAACCCAGTAAAACTGCATGATAGGAAGAAAAGTTAGTATTCTATAGTTGGTATGTTTATGCTTTAGAGCGTTCGGAAAATACTTGCGTCTACTTCTAAAAGCCACCGCTAACGGGCCCTAGGTATCCTTGTTATCTTGTGTGTATTTAACTAACCCTAACATTCTGGGTAAATGACAAGTGTTTTCAACTTCTTTGTACTTGGCTACTGTAGCCTTAAAGATATATAAGTTAGATCTTTACAAGAAAAGTAGTAAAAGGAATTTTTCCTTTACCTGTTTTGGTAATTAGCTTTTAGTCTTTTTGTGTGTCTGTCGTCAGAATGACATCCATTAAGAGATAAGATTTGGTATTTGAACCCAAGATCCGTGTACTTTGTTCTTTAGAAATCGCGAAGCCTGAGGCAGTCCTTCGTCGTTACCCTGACTCTCTAGGCCTAAACATCGGCTGCAAAATGTAATACTTGACGTACTTCTTTAGCAGTGCCAAGTAATAGAAAGTACTTTGAAAAATTTGAAGATTATAGTTTTTCAAGGTTGCTAAGTTGTTTACTGAAACAGAAACTTCTGTTTCAGTGAATAAAAGTTTTAATGCCGTTTACCAAAGACTCTCCCGATGTATCGCAAAGAGTACTGTTCTTTTATAGCACAAAATTAACTCGTATTAATTTAGAATTAAAAAAAAGTAATTGCTTATATATTAAGATATACAAACCACAGTGAAATAATTTCACCTGTTTTTTAGGCTGAATGAACAAACTTAAGAAGGTTAAGATGTTTCATAGGCTGAATGAATAAACTTAAGAAGGTTAAGATGTTTCATAGGCTGAATGAATAAACTCAAGAAGGTTAAGATGTTTCATAGGCTGAATGAATAAACTTAAGAAGGCTAAGATGTCTCTTAGAGAAGAAGATTTTAGAAATAAATATTTTTTTGTTCTTGCTGCTTCTCTGACGAAGAATTTTCAGAAATTAAATTTTTACTGTTTTATTTTCATTTTGAAACGAGACTTATATCAATAATATTGCAAATTGTTGGTAACAAAACCTGATATGATGAATATGTTAACAGAGTTCAAAGGTGCCACTAGGGGCGCCATTGTAATTAATTAATGGAAAGAAAACTGCTGGTAAGCTCATTATATCTTTTCGAAACTGGAAGCGATATCATTAATTTTTATTCCATTAACTGACATTACCAGCAGAAAGTAGTTCTTTACATCCTTGCTAGGGACATTGACAACTAAAAAAAAAGTTATTTTCATTTAGCTAAGTTCGTTCAAACCTAGTTATTTTATATATAATTTTTATTTGTTATTTATGTTTTCCGTTGTTTTATTTCTTGTTTTTGTCACTAGACACGTGCAACTCGCTATTTACTGATTAAATTTTATGTTTTTGATAAAATAAAAATACACTTATCACGTAAACAAAAAATGTATTTCATTAAATGTTCTTCAGAAATGATAAATGATACACTCACAAATTGGATCTCAATATTTTCTTTACAGGATTGTCCAGAAGGGTCTCGCAATTTTCGTGAGGAACAATGTTCCAGTTTTAACTCACTTCCATTTGAAAACAAGTACTACACCTGGGTTCCGTATTTCAAAGGTAAGAATGTAGAGGCATGATGAATATAAAATCCGACTAAAGCGCAATTTTAAATACTAGGATAAGTTTCTAATAGTAATATATGTGTAAAAAGGAATAGAAGATTTAGACATATTCAATTTATTTATTTATTAAAGCGTAGCGTTTCATTCTGTTTCAAACTGACTTTATTTGTAATGATAATATATTAAATTGTTATTATTTTCTTATATTGTTCTATTTTTCACAGAATCTAGTCCGTGCGAGCTCAACTGCAAACCAGAAGGAGAGCGATTTTATTATCGTTATGGCAGAAAGGTCATTGATGGCACCCCCTGCTATAACGACGGATCGCGGGATATATGTGTGGATGGATTGTGTATGGTAAGTAGAACTGAGTCATCAACTTTGTTACTGTATGGTATTCACATATTCACTTTCCTACATTAATACGATCTATAGAAAATCTAGTCTATTACATAAAGACAAAATCAAATTAAAATAATTGTAGATTTTTTTTGTCATGTTTCAATCAGTTCTGAAGTAAATTTATTTGACTTAAGCTGTCTCATTAAATCTGTGCAAAATGACATTTTCTCTAGCTACTATATCTCAGCAACATTAATCATTTGAATGACGTTTCTATGGTTGCTGTGTCGAAACAACACTAAAGAGATGAAGGAAATATCCACGGGCAGTCTTTCAAAGTTACTAAATATTGGTATTCTAAGCTCCAGAGAAAGAGAACTAAACGACGTTTCTATAGTTACCATTACCATACCTCAATAGTTAGTGTTAAGAAGATAAACGCAGTTTCTGTTGTTACCGTGGCTTACTATTAAAAAAGCAACAACAACTGAATCTTGGTAACGGAGTGCTAGTACGGAAACAATATAAACTAAGTTTATATTGTTACGATTGTATTAAGAAAATAAACAAAGTTTTTACTATTACTGTGCTTTATTATTAAAGAAAATAACACAGTTTTTACAATTACTGTGCTTTATTATTAAAGAAAATAGATAAATACGGTTTCTGTATTTTGTTAAACTGAGTGCTACAGATGGAAATAAAAAAAAACGATATTTCTATAACATAAGGAGAGAAACGATCGTTCTCTAGTTACGTCATTTCATTACCAACGAAGAAAGAAATGACACTCCATGGTTACTTTATCTTTCCAATACTGTACAGATAAATTCAGTTTCCATGATTACTTTATTTCATTAACACAGAAGAAAACAATGACGTTTCTGTAGGTATTTTATATTAACAACATTTTATTGATCGACGAAACTTCTATTTCTTTCGTGTTGTTCTCATACTTTTACTTCATCGCAGGAACATTTTGAAATACATTTTCACCTGTTTTACGGAATTTGAGGAAATGCATTGAGTTAATATCCCACAACACCCTGATTTCTAGTTTGTCTCCCAGTAGGTTAGTGATACTTACAAAGCTAAAATCCGAAAATCCAGGGTTCGAATCTTTGTGGTGGACAGAGCGCGGATAGTTTACTAAAACAAAGAAATAAACAACTTAGTTCAGCTGATTGGTAAAATATAAATGCGACAGAAACGGCGTGTTCAAGCTTTATAACATTTATTACAGATAATCTATTTTCCAAGATCTGTCATTTAGTTAAAATAAGAAAGAAAAGTTTGAGCAGCGTCACCATTGCGAAAAAAGTCAACTATGCTTGTTCTATTTAAAAATTTAAAATGTACCCTCCCCCAAGTGGCACAGACTTATAACGCTAGAATCCGAGTTTCGATACCCGTGGTGGGAAGAGCACGGATAGCCCATTGTATTGCTTTGTGCTTAACTTCAAACAAACAATCAAACAACAAAAAAAAAAAGGAATGAAGAAAAAATCACTCGCGAATTAAAAGTTTTGTTCTTTTTACACGTATGTAGACGTAGACTAGGTGACAACTTTGAAAACAGACTTCTGTTTGAAACTGTGTTTACGTGTTTTATTCCTAATAATAATATATTAAATTGTTATTCTTTTCTTTATTGTTTTATTTGTCGCAGAATCTATTCCATGCGAGCTCATCTGCAAAGCAGAAAGAGAGCGATTTTGTTATTGTTACGGCACACAATTCACTTGGGATTTTAATTGGAGTACACTGTTGTGAAAAAAAAATCAACTTTTCAGTTTTAATTTTTCCCTTTGAATCCCAAGTAAGAATGAAATCGCAGGCGTTTCGATTAAGTACTCATATTCAAACTTGTATACATTTAGAGTGGTCCTGTAAATTCGATTAGTACCGTGTTTCATTTTTAATTTTCTTCGTCCTATTTATAATATACGTTTAGAAACACCGCAAAAAATTAAAATAATATAGTTGTTTCGTTGATGATAAAAATCACAAGGTTTTAACTTTTCACCTAATAATCGTTATAGGTAACGACCTTTGTATGGAAGTAGATTATCTTAACTCTGTAGCTTCCTACACTGCACCTCCCACCGGAAGTAGATTATCTTCAAGAGATGAATTATCTTAACTCTATAGCTTCCTACATTGCACCTCCCACCGGAAGTAGATTATCTTCAAGAGATGAATTATCTTAACTCTATAGCTTCCTACATTGCACCTCCCACCGGAAGTAGATTATCTTCAAGATATGAATTATCTTAACTCTATAACTTCCTACACTGCACCTCCCACCGGAAGTAGATTATCTTCACTCTGTAGCTTCCTACACTGCACCTACCACCGGAAGAAGATTATCTTCAAGAGATGAATTATCTTAACTATGTAGCTTCCTACACTGCACCTACCACCGGAAGAAGATTATCTTCAAGAGATGAATTATCTTAACTCTGTAGCTTCCTACACCACACCTCCCACTCGGACTCAGCCTCTGAACTGCATTGAGAACCTAAGCGGTCCATAGATCCCTTCCGCTTTAATTAGTCTAGTTTCTTTGTTTTAAGTTAAGCACAAAACTACACAATGGGCTATCTGTGCTATGCCCACCATCTATGCTCTGTAGCAGGCAGCCTGGCTGTACAAAATATGATCGAACCAGTTTTACTTGTTTATACCTCGCATACGTAAAGGGGGATGGGTGCACTCCTAGATTGCACCTATATGTGTATAAAACATATTTAAAAGGGGTAAAAGTACTTCAGATACCATCAAAATGTACCAATTTTCAGATGTAATTTTTCCCATTGAGACCCAATTAACAATGAAATTGCAGACGTTTCGATTCAGCATCCAAATTCTTACTTCTATACATATATCTTTGCTTTCTGAAATGTGGTAAAATGTAATACGACATACACTTGTCAGAATTCCAGTGGCATTAAATAAATTCATGAATTTGAGACATAGTTTCGTCCAGCAGTCATGACTGGGCCGATTAAATACCACCTCTATTAGAATTTTGATTTAAAAAAATTAAGGTAATCAGGTTTTTTGCTATAATTACGTAAATATTAGTGCTGAAATAATAAATATATAAAGAGACTTCCTCGATGGCACAGCGACAAGTCTGCAGACTTAAACGCTCAAAACCGCGTTTCCATGCTCGTGGTGGGCACAGCACCGAAATCGCATTGTGTAGCTTTGAGCTTAATTACAAACAAGCAAAAAACAAATAAAGAGTTCGCCATTTGCCTTTTTTCTCACAATTCAGTGCTATTTAGGCTAGAGGAAGATGCAAGTAGCCAAGTGGCCACCTAGTGGTTTAAAATGTCTTTCATTCTCTATAAATAAAAGTAAACTAAAACTATTCAAATTTATCAACACCTACTCATTGTCCACGACACAAGTATTTTGATCAGTTTTCTCATATTGTAAGCCCAAAAACTAAGCTTTCAAGGAGTGTGTGAACAAGGGTGGATAGTAAATTAACGTCACACATGTATTCCAAACAATAATTTAAACGAGGAACATTTGTTTATTAAAGTACATAAAACTCTTACACATTAATGATCTACTATCGTTTTACATATAAAAACACCATTATATATGTTCTCTTAAGCTACCCGGTGACTCAGCGATAAGCTTAAAAGCTTATAACGTTAAAGTGCGGGGTTCGATCCTTGCAGTGGACGGAGTGAAGATAACCCTTTATGCATCTTTGCACTTAGACGAAATCAATCAGACAAATACATTTTCCGTTTTTTCCTGATTCGTAGTTCACAATTTGTAACAGTTAAATATGCATTCAAGCCTTTACATTTCGAAACCTCCATGGACCAATAACCTGCTAAACTCTGCACTTGTTTCACTGGGATTGGTTAGTCGTGGTTTCAGTTCGACGTAAAGCCTTATATGAACGTTTTATTGGTTGTGACGTATCATTTTGTTGTATTAATACATATCTTTTACTCTGTTGTGTTGTCAATAGTTTTCTTAAACGAGATTATTTAATATAGTACTTTAACTTCTGAATGTTTTCGGAATTCCGATTTTCCTTAAGCCTAATGTCCCGTAAAAAAAACAAAAAAAAAACTGTAAAACATTCCGCTATAATAGGATTGCAAGATTTTACTTGAGTGTTATCAGTTCTTTGTTTTCACTTTTCAAAACAAGCTATTTTCAGTTTTCTTTTGTGTGCACTTCAGCCAGTTGGGTGTGACAAAATTCTCGGATCGAAAGCTAAAGAAGACAAATGCCGAAAATGTGGAGGAGACGGAAGCAGTTGTAGAACAGTGGAAGGATTCGTCAGTAACGATAACTTACGAGTAGGTGAGTTGAACCATCAAAAACCTGTAAATGTTTTTTATGTTATAGAGTGTTTTTATTTTTATTTTTCTCCTTACGCAGTTTTTTTTAGCCGCAACCTAGCGGCTCATAGAATTGCTCTAAGTTTTTTTTTCAAGTACAAACTTTTAGCTCATAGCTCCATCTCTTGACCGATTTGAGATCTAATTACAGCCGTAGCTATTGAGGATTCCCTCATGTTTTCAAGTACAAACTTTTAGCTCATGGCTCCATCTCTTGACCGATTTGAGATCTAATTACAGCCGCAGCTATTGAGGATTCTCTCTTGTTTATTTGATCAAAGAAATATTTTCCCCAAGACTCGGACTCACATAAAAATAGAATAAAGTATCTACAAAGACCCATATTTCGAAAATACTTCTCTAGCAGCATTGTCACACAGTGAGTCAGCGGAAAGTTAATGGCTTTAAAACGCTAAAATCCAAGGTTTGATTCCCCGCGTTGGACATAGCGCACCCAGTCTTAAAGTTTCTTTAAACTGTTTATAGAAAGAAGTATAAGAGTATTATTATCGGAATAGAGGTCAGTGTTTGAAATTATTTTGATAAATCACGCAGAATTATAGTGACACTGTTGTAAAGCTTAAACAATTTGAAAGTCTGATTTTTAGACAATAAAAATGTTCTTGTGTAAGAAGTTTTTTAAAATATTGTACATATACAATTATGATATTTTTAGTTACGGAATAATCTACTGGTAACAGCGATAAGTGCAGTTTGTTGTTTTGTACAAAATCTGATTCGTCTCAGGGGTAGGGGCGATAGGAGACCCCCTCCAAGTTTGGGAGAAGGCCTTAAATGGCTGTTTATGTGAGACATTTCTGGTCGGGCTGGATTAACACACATAAGCAAGCTACGCCTACCCCCCTCCCCAACTGAATTGGTGGGGGGGCTCCTAATTCGTCTATACACTTGGTGTAAAACCAATAGAAATGTTGCAAGTGGTAGGGAAGATAGGTATTTCAACAAATAGTTAAGTTTCTCGTGAAGAAAGGGGTGCACAAATAATCGGATTACAAAAGAAGAACGTTAGGTATAGCAGTGTTGAAAGACCACCATATTTCATTCAACCTCCACATTTGACAACGTTACAACTTATGAATGCAAAATAATATTTTATTATGATAGAAAATCACCATAACATTTTAACAGCTTATGACAGTGCGACACTCTAAAGCTAGACAAGTAATATATGTACATTCTGCATTGTTAAGTAAGCGAGTCATTTTAAGCATGCACTGCAGCGTTGACATGCATGTGTTGGGAGCAGAGCACTTTCACGGTTCCCGTGCTTTAGTGCAAAAACTTTCGTTGTTTTTTTTTATCCCATAGTTTCGAGTTCATGACCTCTTCTGTTTACATGTCGTTTGGATTATGTTTATGTAGCACGTGTTTACAACCCTTCTATTCTGAAGCATTTTTGTACAGAGGTTGAGTACGTTGTATTGAAATATAACATACTCTATTTATCGATCTTGACAATAGCACTTCGTCGTAGCTTCAATTACAATATATATATATATATCCGCTGTAAGGCTGTAATGACCAAAGCATTTGCCATCCTCAATTCACCTAGTGTGTATGAGAACGAGGCTTTCCCAGCACCCATTTCTACAGTCCGATTGCACAGCAATTCATAGGTGCTGCGTCCAGTGACTTGAGTCACTTGACCAGTATGTCTTTGTATGTAATACCCGTTTCATTCTCCAGCTTCTTGAACTATACGACGGTTGAACGGGAAATATGACTGGAAACCATAACTTGATGACCCTATACCTTATGACCTCGTTTCTATACGGAGATTCTCGTTGATTATGATGTGCACTGTTGCCTAGATCACGTGAACGCCTTTTGCTACTGAAACTTGTTCTTAGATTACCACCTTTTACAAAACACCGCACCTTGATTACTATGGCTGAGAGACGATTTGTTGCAGGTCTTTACTGAATGGTCTTGGCTTTCCGCGTTGATCCATATTACCATGATTTTCAGTACCGTTAAGTACAAGGGATATCTCCGACTTAGACATTCTACATCCACAATGTAAATACATTTTTATAATCTGAGTATATGAACATTTGGCATCGGAAAGCCCTAATGCATACCTTCCCAATAGCGATAAATTTTAGGTGACATCTTGTTACCCACGTAACGCCAAACAATGTCAAAATGTACAGTAGTTCTGATACATTCCGTTCCACCGCAACTTTATATTACTGTGATTGTTACGTGACTTACCAATTTGCGCATTCAAACTTATTTTGATATAACGTACTCAACCCTCTGTGTAACTTAGATATTTCTTTGGGCCTGACGTGGCAAGGTGGTTAGGGTGCTCGACTCGCAATCTGTGGTTCGCGGGTTCGAATCCCCGCCCCACCAAATGTGCTTGCCCTTTCAGCCGTGGGAGCGATATAATGTGACGGTCAATCCCGCTATTCGCTGGTAAAAAGCGTAGCCCAAGAGTTGACGGTGGGTGGTGATGACTAGCTGCCTTCCTTCTAATCTTTCACTGCTAAATTAGGGGCGGCTAGCGCAGGTAGCCCTCGTGTAGCTTTGCGCAAAATTCCAAATAAACCAAACCAATCTTTTTTATTTCAAAACACTAGTGTTTGTTGACTTTGTAAAAGGCTTAACCACTTTGCACAGACACAACCTAATTTTTCTTCAGTAACTTCAATGGAAATAAATATTTTGTCCAAAAAAATAATATTACGTAATATCTACACGATTACTGGCTTGAGTAGATCTACCTCTTTTAATAGCTGCTCTGTTTTACAAGTGAACTCTTCATATTTATTTTCAGGTTATAATGACATCATTCTTATTCCGATGGGTTCAACTAACATCAAAGTAAGAGAGAAGAAGCCAACAAACAATTATCTAGGTAAGGACGTTTCGGCGCATAATACTAAAGGGTGTGTTGGCAAGGTTCGATAATGAAGTGTTTTGAATAATGTTGCATGTCACAACTATAAATAGTCCTCTTAAATTTTAAACAACACATACAGTACAGTCTAGAGACAGGTAATCGCTATATTCTTTATTTATTGATTAAGAGGTTTGGTAGAAAACTTTTTATATTTTCTCACGTTATGAGTCTACGTCAACATCCCTATTAGTGCTCTCTGGTGGCAGGAACTTGAAGTGTAAAAATAAGTGCAGTGCATGAAGGACAAGTAGATTAAACACAAATGAAACAAACATCCAAAAAAACAAAAACAAGAATAAAAAACATTCATAGCATCCAAAAGTAGCATAAAATATTCCAAACGCATAGGGTTGGAATTCAAGGTATTCGTTTTAGAAAATGATAAATAGCGCATGATAATACCAGAAATGTGAAAGTTTGGTGGACCGAACTGAACACCATTCTTGTTTAGTGCTATAACCAGCCTTGGATTAATGTGAAGGTTTGAAGGATCAAACAAGACATCAACACGTGTGTGTTTGTTTTTATTATTAGAACCATCCTAGGATAATGTTTCGCATAAAGAATTATGAATCAAGTTGTTTTCAACTTTTGTCACTAATATAGCAAATACACAATCCTCTAATTATTCCAACGTTTAATCTACTCAGTCTTGACGTCGACATTCCATTTGTATTATTCTGGACAATCAGAATTTATCTCCACATAATGTACAATCTAAGAAGTTCTTCCGCATACCCAGACAGACATTTCGCTCTGTCTGGAGCTTATATCTAGCTTCTCATCTCACATTTGGTTCAGTGTCATTTAATAATTATTTACAAACACATAAATCTCCATGTTTACTCACAAGATGTCTTGTAATTATAACATTTTTTACACACCAATTGGAGGTGTATTTCACTTTGTAATTCCAACAGTTTCTTTGTCAATTGAAGAGAATCGTGTTGTAATGTGCGTCGCTAGCTTATTTATAAGAATTAAGTTATTTGTATGGACGAAGCTCCAGCTTCCAAAATGTTTATACTACGCATGACCTTGTTTCTCACAGAAAATGCGTCATGTCTAAAGACCCTGGTGGCCGGTTGAGACACATCATTTAGTCCACGAAGTAATTTAGTAATTGTTTTATAGAACAAATATTGTACAATAATATAACGTAAGTTGTGAAAAACCTATGACTGACCGATTTCCTGTTATTTCTTAGAATATTTTCATTACTTGAAGTTTTCTGCTTTGCTACAAGGCTTCAAACCATATTTTCCCCCTTCATTGTGGGAACTTTCTAAGTTAATCTGTAATAAATTTTTTGGTTTAGAATTTTGTATTTTTAAATGGGGAAATAACAAGCGCTGGCTTTGTCCTAAACTAAGTAAGAAAAAGGTGAAACGTGTCAGTTTTTTTTCTTTTGCTGACATACACGGAATCAACATAATTTATCCTCACTGGGTC